TCCTATAAGATGGCCGGCGCTGTGGCTCAATAGGCTAATCCTCCACCTTGCGGTGCCGGCACACCAGGTTCTAGTCCTGGTCAGGGCACCGGATTCTGTCCCGGTTGCCCCTCTTCCAGGCCAGCTCTCTGCTGTGGCCCAGGAGTGCAGTAGAGGATGGCCCAAGTTCTTGGACCCTGCACCCGCATGGTAGACCAGGAGAAGCACCTGGCTCCTGGCTTCGGATCAGCGCGGTGCACCGGCTGCAGCGCGCTGGCCGCAGCGGCCATTGGAGGGTGAACCAACAGTAAAAGAAGACCTTTCTCTCTGTCTCTCTCTCTCACTGTCCACTCTGCCTGTCCAAAAAAAAAAAAAAAATCCTATAAGAAAGAAACTGAGAAAGTTAACTACCATCATGAAAACATATAAAAGTATAAAATTTACTAGAAAAACAACAATAAATATTAAAATATAAGGGTTTTTAAAAATGACACGTCTGTCATTACTCATCAACAATAACTTTGAATGTAAATGGACTAAATTCCCCAATTGGAAGGTACAGACTGGGATTAGCACTGTGGTGTGGCAAGTTAAGCCTGTACTTTTAACACCAGCATCCCATATCAGACCACAGGTTAAAGCCCCAGCTCCTCTGCGAAGGCACTAGGGCTGGCAGCAGAAGACTAGCTGAGTATTTGGGCACTTGCCACCCAGGTGGGAAACCAGGATGGAGTTCCTGGCTCCTGGCTTCAGCATGGCCCTGTCCATAGCCATTTGGGAAGTAGCCATTTGGATAGTAAAGCAGTGAGTAGAAGATATCTTACTCTCTCCCCCTTTCTCTCTGTCCCTCACTCTCTCCGTCATTGTGCCTTTAAAACTGAAAAATACTTTTTAAAAAAGATTTATTTATTCCGAAAGGCAGAGTGACAGAGAGAGGAGAGACAGAGAAAGAGACCTTCCACCAACCGATAGCCAAATAGCCACAACGTCTGGCGTGTGGCCAGGCCTAAGCCATGAGCCTGAAACACCATCTGTGTCTACCAAGTAGAGGGGCCCGAGGACTTTAGTTAATTTCTGCCTTTCTGGTGGCATTGGCAGGGAACTGGATAGGAAGTGGAGCAGGTAGGATTGAACTGGTATTCACATGGGATGCCAACCCCTAAAAAAAAATAGATGCATGGTTTTAAACTGAATGCATAAAAATAAGACAGCAATATTCTGTCTATAAGAAACTCATATCACTAGTAAAGACAAATAGACTAAAATGAAAGCATGGAAGAAGATATTCCTTGCTAATGGAAAAAAAGTGAAGAGTGGTAGCTCTACTTACATTAGACAAAACAGATTTTAGAAAAAAAATGTTTTCATGGATTTATAGCCAATATATAGAGTATAAAAAATGTAATGTACATGAATGAAATTGACATCTTGAGATTTTACTATTGTTTATAATCCTTGTCTATACTTCTGCAGGACTGTGGTTTTTCTACTTTCTACTTGTTGAATTCTTTATTTAGTGGAGAATTAATTCTATAATTATAAAGTAAATTTGAATTATGTTATCACAAAAATTAAAAGAAAAAAAATGAATGCAGAGGAAAGATGGAAGGAGGAAGAGTGGGATATATTATTACATGCTTAAAGTTGTATATATTGAATACTTGAAATCTGTTCTCTTTATATATATAAATAAATAGAAAAAAGAAAAACATTGTAAAAGAGACAAAGAAAATTATTAACTATATAATTTTCAAGGGACCTATTTCACAAGAAGATATGATGATAGTAGATGCAAATACACAACATGCTACAGCACCCAATTTTTTAAAACAAATATTATTTGTTCTAAAAGGAAAGATAAACCCTAATAGATTAATAGGGAGAGACTTCAACATCCCACTTTCATCAACAATCAGGTCACTCAAACAAAAAAAAAAATCAACAAACAGCAGAGTTAAGCTACATTATAGATGAAATAGATGTAACAGAAACTATAGAACATTCCATACAACACATGCAGAATACATATTCTTTTCACCTAATATTCTCTAGGATATACCATATTATTGGGCTTCAAAATAAGTGTATAAAATAAATGTAAAATAAATAAATGTAAAAATCAGAATCATATCATGCATCTTTTTATCATAATAGAATAAAATTAGAAATCACAACAAATTATACAAATACATGGATAACCAACATTATACTTCCAAATGAAGAATAAGTCATTTAAGACACCAAAGTTTAATTTAAAACTTCTATGAAACCAATAAATGTGGAAACAACATATAAAAATGTATGGGCTATGACAAAAGCAGTACTAAGAGGAAAGTTTATAGTAATAAATATGTGTACCTTCCTCCAAAAAAATCAAGGACCTGGAAATAAGATCAAACCAAGCCCAAAATTAGTAGATAGAAAGAATTAACAAAGATTAGAGTAGAAATAAATGATATAAAAACTAAGAAAACATTACAAAGGATGAATTAAATGAAGAGTTGGTTCATTGAAAAGATAAACCTTTGAAAAACTAAAGATAAACCTTTAGGTAGACTAAGTAAAAAGGAGAGAAATCTCAAATAAATAAAATCAGAAGTGACAAAGGGCATATCACAAAGATTCCATAAAAATACAAAGAATCATTAGTGACTATTATGTATAACTATGGGTCAACAATTGAAAAACCTAGAAGAAATGGATTAATTCTATGAGAGTAGCATTGCCTTGATCCCCAAACCAAACAAGCCCATAATAGCAACAACCAAACTAGAGGTAAAAATTCTCAATAAAATACTAGCAAATCAAATCTAACAATACATAAAAAACACACACACCCTGATCAAGTGTAATGCATAGGAATGAAATTGACATTTTGACATTCTATGATGGTTTACAGCCCTTGACTTGCCTGTTGAGGAACAGTAGTTTTTTTTTTTTTTTCCCTTCATACTATTTAGTGTAATTTTTATGTAGTGTAGGGTTAATCTTATGAGTATAAAGTTAACTGAAAATTGATCTTTGTAAAACATCAGAGAAGGAGGAAGAAGAAGGGTAGGAGGGTAGGCAGGAGGGAGGATAGGGTGGGAAGAATCACTACTTTTGTATACATGACATGCTTGAAGTTTGTATAACAAATAAAATGTTAAAAAAATAAAATCAAACAAACAAACAAAACCACCAATGTGAAGGAACTCTATAGTGGAAATTACAAACCACTAATAATAAAAGACAATACACAAGACACAGAAAATGGAGGTACCTTCCATGTTTATCAGTTGGAAGAATTCATACTATTAAAATGTCCATAGTATTCAAAACAATTTACATGTTCAATATAATCCCCATCAAAATGCCAATGATATTCTTCACAGAACTAGAAAAAAAATTCTAAAGTTCATATGAAAGCACAGAGAACCACAAATAGCCACAATAATCCTGAAGGAAAAGGAGATATCACAAGACTGTATTTCAAGACTTACTATTAAGCTATTATAACATAACCAAAATTGTGCTGGATTAAAAACAGACACATAAACCAATGGAACAGAATACAGATTTCAGAATTGAATTCATGCATCTGTCATCAACTTATCTTTGACAAAGATGACAACAATAAACGGAAAAAGAATAGCCTCTTAAATCAATGACGTTGGGAAAACTGAATATCCATATGCAGAAGATTGAAGCAAGACCCTTCTCACCTCTAACAACCTTAACAAAAATAACTCAAAATGGATTAAAAATATAAATATAAGAACCGGAATTATGAAACTATCAGAAGAAAGTATAGAGGAAACACTTCAAGACATCAATATAGGCGATGCCCAAAACACAGGTGATAAAAGCAAAAAGAGATAAATGGGATTATAACAAACTAAGGAACTTCTGCACAGCAAAGAAAACAATCAACAGAGTGCAGAGAGAACCAACAGAATATTTCCAAATTATTCATTTGAGAAAGGATCAATGGCAAAAATATATAAGGATTTCAAAAACTCAACAACAAAGAAATGAATACTCCAATTAAGAAATGGGCAAAGGGGTCCAGCTTTGTGGCACAATAGGTCAAGCACAGCCCATTTTGGAGTGCTTGATCTAATCCTGGTTGCTCCACTTCTGATCTAGCTTCCTGTTAATGCATCTGAAAAGGTAGTGGATAATGGCCCAAGTGTGTGAGCCCCTTCCACACATGTAAGAAACTAGGATGAAGTTTCTAGCTCCTGGCTTTGGTCTAGCCCAGACCTACCTGTTTTGGCCATTTGGGGAGTGAACCAATGGATGGAAGATCTCTCTTCGTCTTTTTCTCTTCCTCTCTATGTCACTCTGCCTTACAGATAAATTAAAAAATCTTAAAAAAAAAAAACATAGGTAAAATATCTGAATAGATATTTCTTGAAAGAAGAAATACAGGAGATTCCAAGAGGTAAAATAGTGACAGGGCGGTCTGCTCTAGGCTATTAGAAAATAGTGGAAAAAAAGTGGAGAAAGTGCCTTCTCAGGGGAGAGTTGAAGGGAAAACAGCAGTGGAGATTCTGAGGGAGGAGGAGAGATGCTGTGGATCTGTGTGGAAGGTGCAGACGCACAGCAAAGAGCACAGCCACGACACACAACGCCAGCAGCTGAGAGCCGGAGAAAGCGCCAGCTCTGGAGAGCAAGGTGAGATAAGACTGCAGTGGCCGGTGCCACCGCTGATATAGCCGGAGAGACAGCCTAGCAGACTACACTGTCTTTGAGTCTGGCCCAGAGCCCTGAGGTTAACAGGGTGCCCACTCACTCAGAGAAAAAGAAAAGGGGCACTTCTCTCTCTCCCCTTTCCCTACCACCACTTAATTGGTGGACTTCAGGAAAACTGGGACAGATAGGTTTAGAGATGTAATTTGAATGTGCTCCTGAGAAATTTCTATTGCAACAGGAAAGGCTCTTTCAGTATCATGGAAATTTGCCTAATTTGGGAAATCTAAAGCAAAAAAATAATTGATAATACATCAGGATAATGTAAGTAAAACTATCCAGCATACCTTAAGATTAAGTGCATTTCTTCCATATAGTTGACAGTTCATTATGGCCAAATCAGTCATAGCTGCCAATGTTTCATATCGTGTTGCTGCAATAGTCTTAAAACCTTCACCATGTAAAGTAAGTACCTCTGATTTTTCTTCTTCAATTGTAACAGGAACTAAATAAATAAAACAAAGCATGAAACTTATATGTCATTATTTAGAGTAAAAATGTGAAGGTATTTATGCTATGGTAAGATTAAGGTTACCTACACTCTTCTAGAAAGTATTCTCCACAAGCTCCGCCCACTGAATCGCAGCTGGTTCTGTCTGCCGATCTGGGTGTTATTTGTTTGTTGTAAAATATTAGATAGCACAATTATCTTTCAAAAAGAGAACAATATGCTCCTAGATTTCTACTTGTATGATTTAGATTCCTTCAGTCTTAGTGTTTTTGTACTGTATGTAAAACTTTTTAAAATTTTACTATGTATTATGTAAATAACTTCTTTGCTCTCAAAATTAATTAAGGACATCATATAAACATAACTCCAAGGGGTAGCTTCACGTTTCCCCTCACATCATCTTATGCATGGCTCAAATGTCTTATATAATTAAACTCTTCCCTTAGTGTATAGATCTCACAAAGGAAATGGAAGACAGAAAACGAACAACTCAGGAGTTACCCAAGCAGAGAGGATCTAAATTTAAATTTACTTTTTATGATGACTCTTGTGAGTTGCACCTTCCACCACAAATGGTCTATGCAAGTACACATCAAGTGCAGCAGGAAAATATTTTGAAATGTTATGAAATATGCATTCCCAGCCATTCTCGATGTATTACTTGCAGAAACATATTTCTACAGTCTCAGTAATTCTTAAATTGCTTCAATGAGAGGAAACAGTGCATCCTACAACAACAAAAAAATTACATTTGGGTCTTAATTTCTAACATAGACCCTCCATGCCCATTTAAGATCAACAGATGTGAAAGTTAACTTCAGAATAAAGAAAGATGTAGAAGGTGATACAGAGAGGAAGGGGATGGAGCAAGATGGAAAGGGGAATGAATTAAGATCGAAGTCTGTGGCCAGCTCTGGGTTCACCTACCTGTAGGGTCTAAGCCCAACCAGTTGCTTTTTCAATAAAGCGAGGGAGATAGAGTAGCACAGATGGTTAGAAATTCCCTTCTACATCTCTGAAAGTTCCAAGTGCCCTTACAGATACCTGCAACTTTCCAAGGAGGGAACCATCAGAGCAGAAGAAACTCAATAAAGCAGAAACAGCACCAAAACTTGTTTAGGCTCCTGACATGCAGGAGTGCCACAAGTTAATTAATGCCAGAGATATTGACAAAGAACTACTGGGAAGGACAGCGGCTAACAAAGTCCTATCTTTAGAGCATTCTGCCATGTATAATCTATTAAACATAGCTATTGAGTAAATTTGTTATATTATCTTTTTGCTGTTCTAGAGTTTTGCTCAACTGTTATTTTAAAAACAAAAACCAGTTCTCCGCTGAAATTCTCCAGGTTTTCTTAATTTTCTTGAACACAGTCATCACAGTCACTTTAAACTCCCTCCTTAAAATGCTACTATCTGAATCAATCATGGGGCTGTATCTATTGTCTATTTCTTTCAAACATTTTTACCCTGTATCTTAGGACGCTTTGTGAATTTTTAATTTGAAGCTGGAGTTCATGGATGGACAATGCTAAAGGATCTGGATAATGTTATCTCTAACAAGTGTTAGCTGTTCTTTGTTTAAGCAAAAGCGCCACTTTGGTTTGTCAAGGATTGGTTTTGACCTTCTTTAGGGATAGTCTATTTTAGCTTAGTTCTTTTCAGAAAATATCATTCCTATTCCTTAGTGATGGGTTCTCTGGGTCTTCAACTGAAAACTCTATTTGGTTATAAAAACCTTTATACTTTGACAGAGCTGGTACTCCAATTTCTGTCTCATGTGTAGCTGAAAAAAAAATCTGTCCTCAATTCCTTAGTTTCTCCGCCAATGATTCTGCTGTTTCGGAGTCTTATCCTGTATGTGCACAACTTGGAAATCAGCCGAAACCCTTAAGGAGTTTGTAGACAGCTTTTTAAGACTGATTCTCCTTCGATTCTTTCCTTTTTAAGATTTTTGCTCTTTACGTCCCAGTGCTATTGGCAGCTCTGAAGTCTGAATGCTATCTTCCCCATCAGCTACACTACTCCTTTCTTTCTTTTTTTTTTTTTTATCTTTTATTTAATGAATATAAATTTCCAAAGTACGACTCATGGGTTACAATGGCTTCCCCCCCATACCGTCCCTCCCACCCACAACCCTCCCCTTTCCCACTCCCTCTCCCCTTCCATTCACATCAAGATTCATTTTCGATTATCTTAATATACAGAAGATCAGCTTAGTCTACCTTAAGTAAGGATTTCAACAGTTTGCTCCCGCACAGAAACATAAAGTGAAAAATAATAGATGATTTTTTTTAAATGATGATGAAATCAGATCAGACCTATTGTCATGTTTAATCCCAGTGAGAGTCAAGTTGGGAATTGATAATTTCTTTTTTTTTACACTACTCCTTTCTATAGTGCAAGCCACAAACGCCCCAGGCAAAAGCCAAGGCAAAGGCAGAGAACTAACCGGAGGATTTCCCTTTCTGCAGGGACCGTGGCCATTCAGGTCATGTGTGCGTGGTTGATTTTCCAATGCCTTAAATAGCAGTTTTATATCTTTCTGGCAGGTTTAATAGTTGATTGTGGTAGGAAAATTTGTCCAATACAAGCTAATCAATCATGGACAGAACCAGAAGTTATCACATTACTTTTTTTTTTTTTTTTTTTATCTTTTTCCTTGAACAGGCAAGAGTGGAATGGACAGTGAGAGAGAGAGACAGAGAGGAAGGTCTTCCTTTTCAGTTGGTTCACCCCCCAGTGGCTGCTGCGGCCGGCGTGCTGCTGCTGGCGCACCGCGCTGATCCAAAGGCAGGAGCCAGGTACTTCTCCTGGTCTCCCATGTGGGTGCAGAGCCCAAGGACTTGGGCCATCCTCCACTGCACTCCTGGGCCACAGCAGAGAGCTGGACTGGAAGAGGAGCAACCGGGACAGAATCCGGCGCCCTCACCAGGACTAGAACTCCGGGGGTGGGGTGCCAGCACCACAGGCGGAGGATTAGCCTAGTGAGCTGCTTGAAATCTGTGCCTGATAATCCTAAAACTGAATTCTCCTGTGGGTATGTTTATACTGCTCACTATTTCTGAGAGTTTTCATTCATTTTTTCTCCTTGTGTACCTGGTGGTTGTAAAGTATTTACTGCAGACTATATTTGTGAGACTGTCTGTAGAGATAATGTGAAGTCGAGGATGGGATATTATTTCTTCAAAGATGGTATTTTATTTCTGCTTGGTAAGTAAGGCCAAAGCACTGGAAACGATTCCTTACACACGGCAAGTCATTCACCCATTATTCCATGTTATCTGCCCCACCCAGATTAAGAATACACTGGTTTTCATCTTCCCAGTATCAGTACAATATATGGTTTATAGTCACTTCTTAAAAATAGCTGCTGCATTGGCATTTAGCCTTGTGGTAACACGCCTGTTAAGATGCCAGCATCCTACATCATGGTACCTGGGTTTGATTCTGGGGCCTAGCTTCAAACTTCAGCTTCTACTATGCAGACCTTTGGAAGTAGCTGTAATGGCCCAAGTAATCGGGTTCCTGCTACCCACCAGGAGGACTTGAATTGAATTCCCAGCTTCTGGCTTCAACCAGGCCCAGCAATGACCATTACAAGCACTTGAAGAATAAACCAACATTCTCCCCCTCTCTCTCTCTCCCCCTCCTCAAATAGATAAATCAATAAATAATTTTCTAAAATTTAAAAAATTGCTGAGGAACTGAAAATAAGGGGAGACATTATATATGACTCATATATACTCATACAAACACATAATCATAGATACTTTTGTATACTATGTATAATGTCTAAAGGAATGATATAAACATAGCATTTACCTTCAGATGGTCTTGGGGCAGTCTCTACCTTTTCATTTTCTAATGAAATATTTTCTAGAAAAGAAAGAAAATTCATTGAGGGTGTTGTGAATTCATTCCAACTGTTCACTTCATGAATTGGGATTTATCTAGATCACCTTCTGAATAATTAATTAACCTCACCACACCTTTATATTAGTTTTTCTGATCTTTTTTAAATTTCCTTATTGGTTCCCATCATTAGCATCTGGATAGAGTTCCCAGTTTGACTTTGGTATCTATCTGTAGCATCAGGACTCCTGCTCTTGTCCTTTGGTCCAAGACAAAAGGTGATTTTATCTTCTTCCTACCCTGCAAACCCAGAGTGGGGGTGGGGACACCCTTGGCTCCCATGCCTCCCCTCCCCTGTGTTCCACTTGACCCCATTATGATAGAACCATAGTCAGATTATATTTACCTATGATAGACTGTCTCCGAGGCTTTCGTGGTAAAGGTGGTGGTGGTAAGGGAACAGTACCTGGAAACTGAGTGATACTTACTACCACTTTACTAAGATGTGTGGGACTTCGCTGGAAACGTTCCGACCACAGACTTTCAGGCCTACCAGACACAGTGCTAGGTAGAGGGCTTACGTATATTGCGCTTAACTCTCTCAAGGGTTGCTCATAAATGTGGGTTGGAGTCATCGGTAAAGGTTGGAACTCAGGATACACTTTCTCGTAGTTGCTAGTGAAGATTGGCCAGCGAGCACTGAAGACGTTAGATAAATCTGAAGGGTAGTCATACATGTCTTCTAATTTGTCTTCGAAGTAAATGATTTTTCTTTTGTTTACCTCTGGCTGTGGCTCTTTTTTGAGCTTTCTTAAACTTCCCATTCGGGCTGTTTCTTTCCGAAAAACTCGAGAAGAAGCTGATTGACAACTTGGGATAAAGACGGAACCAGTAGCAGTATCTGGAATGTGCCAAGAAACATTTTTAGTAGATTTTGGGGCTGTGGAAATAGTAGCCACTCTTTCTTGTACATGACTTTCCATAAAGATATTTTGGATCTTGACAGCTGTTAGTGTTTGTAAATCTTTGCTTGAAACAATACCAGGAAAAGCTGCTTCTTCACTTTCAATTGAAGTTTCATCTTCGGGGAATTCTACATACAGGGACCCAATTTTACCAGTCTTGGCTAAATCAGAAAAAGAAAACAGAAAAAGGAAAATTAGGTGTCAGATATATAAAACGATTAATGTTTTCATATTCATAACTTTTCTTTATCCACTCACCCCACTCTCACCTTCTAAAAATGTTTATATTCCAGCTCGGCTACCAGGAGTTTTGACTAGGATAAAATGTCAGAGAATATCAAAGTGAAGACTGAATTGTATATTTAGAAAGGGAAAGGAGTGTCTCTTGGAAGAACATACTAGATGGAGAGAAAAGTGGAGTATAAGGAAATATTTATGAGCAGTTACCACTAAACCCTGGCTACATGGTTAAAATGTTTTTGATGAAATTTTGCTATTTCATTATTACCTCTTTCTCATTTAAAATTTTTTTGAGCAAAGATTATGTTTCTTTTCAATATCAAGTGTCAAATCAATGTATCTTTTAAATATCCTAATATTTGCATAGACTACAATGTGTCAGCAGTTCAGTTAGGTTACAACAGTAAATATTCTTTTTTCTTTTAGATCCAGAAACTGCTCTTAACATCTTAGCTTTCCTCCACTCCTGGGCCCAGCATTAGAGGAGCCAGAAACTCTGAGTTGGGCAAGAGAAACAGAAGAACAAGGTGGAAAACTGATCAAACCCTCTCTCCCTGTGGCTTGTGTAAAAAAATTGCAAGCCTAGAGTAAGCTGTGAGAAAGTATTGATTTAGATTGAATTAGTTGTTTAATATGTGAAAATTAGTCAAGGCTAATAGACAAAGTGACTAAGAATGGGTACCACATGAGTTTGAAAAGTAGTAATAATAGAATAATATTTGCTTCCTTATATGGTACTAATCAATACTAGACTCATTCCATAAAAGGGATACCAACATCTTCAACTTCATTCCCCCTCATTAGAATTCTCATTCTCATTAAAACGAATAGCTTAACAAGGCAAACACTACAATGAATTCCAAAACTCCTGACTACCACCATCCCACCGTATTCATCCTCCCTACAATGACAAACTCTAGTCACTAACATCCACTGGTTTGATTTAATTTTTCATTTTTGTTCTGTTTGTTGTTTCACTTTATCTTGCAAATTTTTATTAAATCAATAGACTTTCTTTTTGGAATAGTTTTAGATAAGAAAATTAGGATAGTACAGGGAACTACCATTTTTCTTCAATGCCACTTAGTTCTACCTATTACAATCTTACATTAGTGTGATATAGTCATTCTAATTAATGAAGCAATGTTAATACATTATTAATTTAAGTCTATAGTTTATAGTAGGGTTCACTCTTTTTGTTGTACAAGTTTATGGGTTTTGGTAAATGCATTATGTTATGTTTTAACCACTACAGTATCATACAAAATAATTTCACCACAGTGAAAATCCCTTACGCCTCACTTTTTACCTTCCCCTCCCCCCCAACCAAATCCTGGCAGCCACTGATCTTTTTACTCTATAGTTTTGCCTTTCCCAAAATGCCATATCATTGGAATCATAAATGCATAGCCTTTTCAGATTGGCTTCTTTCAGATAGCAATATGCAGTTAGAGTTCCCCCATGTCTTTTCATGGCTTGAGAGCTCATCTCTTCTTCGTGCTGAATACTATTTATTTGTCTAGCTGTATCACAGTTTGTTTCTTTATTGCCCTGCTAAATAGCTTCCAGTCTGGGGCTCTCATGAATAAAACTGATATAAACTTGCATGTGCAGAATTTTGTGTGAATACCAGCTTTTATCTCAATCAGGTAAACACCTGGGAGTGCAGGGATTGAATTGAATAGTGAGTGTTCAGCTTTTGATAAAATTGCCAAGCCATCTTATCTTCAAAAGTGGCTATACTATTTTATATTCCCACTCTCAGTGGATGAGAAGTCCTGTTCTTTTCCAGGTTTGGCATTGTTAGTGTTTGGGATTTTAGCCATCCCAATATATCTACAGTTGGTATCTCATTATTGCTTTAATTTGCAGTTTCCTAATGACATATGATGTTGAACATCTTTTCATTTGCATATTTGCCATCTGGATGCCTTCTTGGGTGAGGTGTCTGTTCAGGTCTTTTGCTTGTTTTAAAAACTGAGTTGTCTTCCATGAGTTTAAGAGTTCTTTATTTTAGATGTAAGTGCTTCCTTAGATATGTATTTTGCAAGCATTTTCTTCCAGTCTGTGGCTTGGCTTCTCATAAAATAGTCAATGTATTTGGTAGAGCAGAAATCTTTAATTTAATGAAGTTCAAATTGTCAATGTTTTCTTTTCATAGTTTACTCTTTTTTCATTTTTCTTTTTCTTTGCACTGTATCTAAAAGTCCTCAACAAACCCAAATTTCATCTTAGGTTCTAGAACTTTTATAATATTGCATTTGTACATTTAGATCTATGATTCATTTTGTGTTCGTTTTTGTAAGTCACAAGGTTTGATCTAGATCCATTTGTATTTTTTTTTCTGTTTTGTATGTGGATGCCCAGTTGCTGCAGCATCATTTGTTGAAAACATTCTTTTTTTTTCATTATATCATCTTTGCTCCCTTGTCAAAGATCAATTGACTATATCTCTATGGGTCAGTTTCTGGACTCTCTATTCATAGCTATTGATCTATTTGTTTATTCTTTTGCCAATACAACCCTGTCTCAATTACTGTGGCTTTATTATCACATGGTCTTAAAGTTAAGTTGGACAATCCTTCTACTTCCTTCTTATTCTTCAATATTGTGTTAGCTATTATGGGTTTCCTGCCCTTCCATATAAACTTTAGAATCATTTTCTATCATATACAAAACAACTTGCAGGAATTTCTACTGGAATTATATCAAGTATGTAGATCAAATTGAAAAGAATTGGCATGTTAATAATACTGAATCATCCTATTCATGAACATGGAATAGCTCTTCATTTATTTAGATACTGTTTGATTTCTATGTTCACAATCTTTTCTTTAGTTTTTCTCATATGGATCCTGTACATATATTGTGAAATTTATGTTGAAGTACTTCTTTTAGTACAAATATCAATTATGTGTTTTAAATTTCAAATTCTAACTGCTCATTGCTGATATAAGAACAGTTGACTTTTTTTTTTTTAATTCGGCAGGCAGAGATAGAGAGTGAGAGAGAGAGACAGAGGGAACGGTCTTCCTTCTGCTGGTTCACCCCCAGATGGCCACCACGGCTGGTGCACTACACCGATCCGAAGCCAGGAGCCAGGTGCCAGGTGCTTCTCCTGGTCTCCCATGTGGGTACAGGGGCCCAAGCACCTGGGCCATCCTCCACTGCCTTCCCAGGCCACAGCAGAGAGCTGGACTGGAAGAGGAGCAACCAGGACTAGAACCCGGTGTTCGTATGGAATGCTGGCGCTGTAGGAGGAGGATTAACCAAGTGAGCCACAGCGCCAGCCCCAAGAACAGTTGACTTTTATATATTAATAATACATGCTGTAAACTTTTTGTAATCTTTATTACTTCCAAGAGTTCTTTTGCTAATTTTTGAGATTTTTCCATACAGACTTGCCCTTTATGAACAAAGCCAATTTTATTCTTTCTTCTCAATCTATATAGCTTTTGATTTATTTTCCTGTATTATTGTATTGTCTAGAAGTTTCTAGTACAACACTGAATTGTACTGGTAAGTGGTTAGAGGGGACATCCTTTCTTTGTTCTTAATCTTAGTGGGAATGCTTCTAATTAGTCACCATTAAGGATGTTGTTAGCTGTAGTGTTTTCAGATAGTTCTTGTCAAGTTGAGAAGCTCTCCTCTGCTGCCAGTTTGATGAGTTTCTTCATGACTGAGTGTTGAATTTTTTAAAAACATTTATTATTTATTTGAAAGGCAGAGTAATAGGGAGAGAGGGAGACAGAGAAAAATCTTCCACCCACTGTTTCACTCCCCAAATGCCTGCATGATGAGCCAGGACTAGACCAGGTCAAAGTCAGGAAAACAAAATTCCATCCAAGTGTCTCTTGTGAGTGGCAGAGACCCAAGTACTTGAGCCATAACCTAGTGTCTCACAGGATGCATCAGTAGGAGGCTGGATGAGGAGTAGAATATCCAGGTCTCAGAAGTGGCACTCATACATGGGATGTAGGCATTCCGAGTGGCCGCTTTATCCACTGTACCACAGGATCCATGACTGTATGTTGGATTTTGACAAATGCTTTTCTACATGAATTGATGTGATCATGAGACTTTTCTTCTTTAGTTTTTTGATGTGATAGATTACATTAATTTATTTTTGAATGTTGAACCAGCCTTTCATATCTAAAATAAATCCTATTTCTTGTGGTATATAATTATTTTTATACATTGTTGGATTCAATTTGCTAATGTTTGCTTGAGAAGTTTTACATCTGGGTTCATGAAAGACATTGGTTTGTAGTTTTCTTCTTTTTGTAATCTCCTTGGTTTTAGTATTAGAATATACTACTCTTATAGAATGACTTAGGAAGTATTTCCTCTGCTTCTATTTCTTTTATACATGTTTGGTATAATTCACACATCAAGCATAGTTATTTTCAATTCCCTGTCTCTTAAAACTGAATTCCCTATCTCTTCAAACTTTTTTTTTTTTTTTGCCTTCAAGCATAGTTTGTACTGTGTTCTTGAAAGACAGTCTGATATATCAGGCAATGGGAACTGAGGTAGTTGTATCTGTAGGTGCAAGAAGCTTCTTCTATACCCTCTAGTTTCTTTTTGCTTTTCACTACTTTTTTTCTCCCTGTTGTCTTTGGGCTTCCTATGAATTTCTTCTTATATGAAAGCCACATTGTATAGTTCTTATTTGGGACCCACTGCTGTTATTGAAGAATTGTTGATGTGGTGTAAGGTGTTAGCGGAGGGTGTTCTGTAATTTTATAACTAAATTTCTATTTTTAAAGGTTTATTTTAGATCCTGTGGGGGAAGCAGGACATACAGCAGACTCAGAATGGCCCCAAAAAGCACTCCGGCCTCAGAATCAACCCTTGGGGCATTCGGATCTGGCTAAAAGGCCCATGAGAGTCTCACAGGCATGGAAAGCCACGACACAGT